GGCAGAGGGGCCCTCACAACCACCGCACCTGAGAAGTCCCAGCATATCCTGCTGAAACTCTACAAAAGTGAAAGATGAAAGTTCAAGTGAATGATATGCAGGACTTCCCCATTGACTCCACTTACAGATGATTCGTATTTCGAACTGGTTGGGCCCGGTCAATCTTTCGAAGGGAGGTCGTAGAGAAATACAAAATAGTGATGTAGGGCAAAACTGATCCATGTAAATTTCAATTTGCTGTCAACGAGCACTATTTAAACTACTGCTTCATGGGACCACAACTTTTTTAGTGTCCGTAGTTACTGATAAAGGTGGCGGTAGATGAAAAGTTCCAAAACTTGAACTGTAGTATTCGAACATTTTGGAAGAAGGACAACCAGGAGTTTCTCGGAAAGTTACAGTTTTGTATGTGCACAATTTTGAAACCAGTAATTATTTCCACACTAACGAGCCTATAGCTAGCCCTCGTGGTGGATATACAATAAAAATCAGTTTGATGGCCTTGTTTAGGAGTAGATGTTTTTGAGTTAGTCAGATTTGCTATCGTTCAAAACTGATTGTGATTGCGGTAATGTCACAAAATCCTGTCACAAAATTCACAAATTTATCACATTGAGCAATAGATTACTTGAGTAAATAGGACATAAATCAAAGCGAATACCATGTTTATATTACTGTACACGTATTTTCTAGTACTATGTATCGCTTTTACAATGACATAGAGAAGTGGCAGTGGCTTCAAAACAGAAAAACATAACAAACAGTGGCTGACTCCATTCGATGAGCGTGAGCTGCAGCAGAAATCGATTGGCAGTTTGCCGCGTTGGCGCGTTGCGGATGAACCAATCGATTTTCTGTTCTGAAAACTTCGTTGTTCTCTGGATTGAAAACATTTTACCCCTCGCTTTCGCATGAGACTGCTACGATTCGCGTCGTTTCATCCGACAGATACCAGAAATTGTTCGGTGGTGGGAAGCAGAAAACAAAGTCATCTGAAATGGCATGAAAATGATCTCCTGACGAAGTTGCTGGTTGACTCACCATCGTATCGCCTTCTGTCGGTAGGATCTTCCGCTGTGTAATAGTAGATATTGCTAAGCCTTGGACACTGCCAGCTTTCACTGTAACATAGTGGTAAATGCAAAAGCCCTTGTTATATATCGATCTACATGTTTCTACAGATGCTGAAGCTGATTTAAAGAATAAGCGTGAGCTTCTTTACTCAGCAGTAATCCATTTAGATGCAACCATTACACTTGTTCAACTCGTGGGTGCACATCAACGTCNNNACGTGCTCGGCCCTTCTAGTGACCGACGGCACTTTACGGACTTGCGCCGCTGTTCCTAAAGAGCGCAAACCGAAGAACGCTTCGTTCTGCCCCTTTCGTAGCCGACTGCCCACATCGGAATGGCTCGGCTCGTTCAACGGGGGAGACGGGCGGTAGGATCGATTTTGTGTAATCGATTCACCGCGCGCGGTAGTCGCGGACTATTTGCCCGTTATTACAGCTCTAGCGTTTTTCATACAGCTTAATTGATATCAGATTACCAATTTAGGTATGATTCTAATGTTAGTTCATTTGTTCCTTACTTGCTGCTGCGCTGTTTCTTACTTGCTGCTGCACTCTGCTACACTCCTTCGCGCGCGCCGTTCCTCTCCCGCGACGCGACAATTTCGATCCTACTGCACCACACCCGTCCGGAGGTCAACATTCCTCCGCTCTCGATACCCGTCAGCGCCGTATATGGTGTCGGTCAGCAAGAGGAAGTCTCATACAGAGAGGGATAGAGAAATGCTTGCTAGTAACGGGGTAGTAGAACAGCGCAGGTTGAAGGCTATCGAGAACTGGCTATGGAGACTCTCAAAACCGATGTGGCTTCAAGTAGGCGTTGAGAAGCAGAAGAAACATTGTCATTAGAAACAAGCACAACAATACATTTCATCAAGTCATGTCACTGACCGACATCGGTTTCCATCCGGTCGCACAACATCCATCGCCTGTGCAGCTGTCGGGCAAAACGTCTTTGGCATCCCATTGCAGTTGTCACGGTAGACCGACGGACAATACGTGCTGCAGTCTGTAAAGGGGAAAGTCGTAAGTCTAAAAGACAAGTCAAAAGACCTTTGTAGACTTTATTTTTCGTCAACCGCTGCTATATCGCTCCAGTACGCAATCCGAAAGACTCACAAGGATGGCGATCTCTCCCAACCCCTAAAATCTTCGATATCCTGTGACCATACCGGTGAGTAACGCCCACCTGTGGCATTTCCCTGGAACATTCTAGACCTTTCGAAAGAAATCTGGGCATTCGTGGAACTTTCAGCAGCTACTTACTTATCACCCTGGTAGTTTTCAAACTTTCCCCTCTTCCCCCATCCCTAGTATCAGTTTGTATCAATGAAACCAAAGCTTGTTAGATCACAGTGAAATTTCACTCTTACACATCAGTGTGGTTTGAATCTTGTGATCGGTTTACTACTTTGAAGTGGTTATCACAAAGTAATAAAATGTACCTTGTTGAGTTTCTGGAGTTTGTGCAGGAGCAACTGAAATGAAAAGCATAAATAGAATGAACATAGAATAGAATGAACTACCAGTTCTACATCCTGAATTACTTGTTTTTTCATGTAAAAACCGTTTATTTTTGAAGAGGACATCATTCGAGAAAAAGTAGTAAAATTAAGAAATTCCTACAACGAATTCGCTTCGCGGTAAGGGGTCCGCCCGGAAAGGATCGCGCTGCTCTTAATCCAGGACCCCACGAGTTCGGTTTCTGGACCTCGCAAACGCAGCTACTGAACTACTTTGATTGTTCCTGAACAGCGGTTATGTTGCCCATCGTTACACAGCTTGCTCAACGATAGCGTATTTTAAATGATCCCTGTAACTACTATGCAATACAGTAATCCTAACCTTGGGTCCTGGATTGAATATCGACTTATCATGGGATTGACTATTACGGTTTTTTGAAAATGCCATACGGGTTTCTTGATCCCCTGAGATTTCCTCTGTCTATTGTAACTGCAACACTGCCTAGTAAACATGCATCTTGCATA